TAATTCCTTGGACATTTTCGTTGTTTTGGGAAGACAAAGTTTATTTTGATTAAAAATCAAAATAAACAAACCAAACATGCATTTATTTAGTTTGATTCAAGTAAACAAAGGTCCGAACATCACATGACTGAAGTATTATGCAGTCATACGACGTAATCGGTATGAAATAGCCCCTGAAAGATGGCGTTCGGAGACTTTTGGCAGGGGTCTGTATAACAAATTTAATAGAATAATTTAATAAATTTTTATAGTATTTATCTAAAAATATTTAGCAACTTATTCAAAAAAAAATGGGAGTATATATATTATTTTATCATGATGATTACTTATATTAAATCTATATTTTTAGAAAAAGTAGAAATATAGATTTAAAAGCAACTGAATATTCTGAATTTATAATATTTACTTACAAATTATTTAATCAGAAGAATCTATAATATTATTTATTGAATTAGTAAAATTTTGTAAAAAGCTTTATTATTCTCAGATTTATAAAAACCTTATGGATCTACCAAGTGAAGACAAATAGAATTGACTTCTTCAAACATTACTTAATAATAAAGCTTTCAGTTCCTCCAAAATTTCAAATGAGATGTTAAAACATTTAGGTCCTAAAATGAAACATATCTTTTGGATTTTTACTTGTGCCTGTTTGAAACTTTCCTGTATGTCTGACAGATAGAATTTGACTTTCGTCTATCCCATCCTAAAACCCAAACTATGGGAATATAATTTAAATAATACTTGTCCTATTATTTTATTAGAATGCCTTCAGAAAACAATTGTAAAATTAATCAACAAATAGCTTTTAAATATTCTTTCAAAAAATTCAATCTTACAAGGAAACAATTTTGCTAGATTACCATTTCATTTTATATTTGAACCAATTCATATTCTTGACAACATAAAATATGATCAATTATCACATAAAAGTAAACAACTTTGGATCCTGTTTCAAGACATGTCAAAAGCTTATGATAGAGTTAATATCACAATGTTAACTTGTACGCTTAATCGTCTATGCTTTTCTTTATCATTTCTTCATTTTGTACTTTTCTTATTCTCTAATCACTTTAATCAAATTTTCACAGCTCATAGTAATATAGACCATTACTCAGTTATCTTAGGTATTGATTAAGGTGAAATTATTTCACCAATTCTTTGGTATATATATTATAATCCCTTATTATATCGCATACAAAATATTGAGCTTGGTTATAATCTTCAGCTGAATGACATCCACATATTAGTAATACTTTAATATCTACAGTTTCAAAACAAGTCTCTACACTTGCCTATATAGATGATACCCTTTGGATCAGTAAATCTAAGGATGATCTTGAGTCGATCTTAACAATAGCCAATGACTTTTATCAACTTAATAGTATTCTAGTTAATTGGGATAAATCTGTATTACTTTCTTTAGTACCGATAGCATCATCCATATATTTTAGACTAGCATATAATGAAGAATGGATTAAACCAATAGATCTTAAATCATCTACTTGTTATCTCAGTATTTGGATCTTCCTTCTCCCAAATTATCCGTTTATAAGACAACAAGTAAAGAATGAAATTTATAACACTACTTTAACAATCAAAAAGAAATTCCTCACAGATAAACAACTCAAAGTAGTCTTCAACTCAATCCTCTTGCCAAGAATCCTGTATTGTACTCAATTAACATTTCTTAACTACAAATTCTGTGATCAGATTATAGAGATATATCAAAAAGTTTTTAGGTCAAATCTATATTTATCTAAAAGTACCCCAGCAGCCATTATTCATTCATCATTATTTTATAATATTATACACTTATATTCAGCGCAAATTCAAGCAAAAATTTCCAACTTCATCAAATTTATCAATGATAAAGATCTATTAGACACTACATCTCTAATCCGTTCTAGACTACTTCAAAACAATGAATGGCTTATCAAATCACCTTTAGCATTTTGGCTATATGATAACTTTCTCAAATTCAAAGACTGATGATCTGCTCTACTTTCTGCCCTGAAATCACTTAATATTACTATCTCTAATAGCAATACTGAAGCTAACTGCATAAAAGGAGAACAATTTCCCTTATATGAGACTTTCAATAAAACAGATTATCACACTTTTGTTTCAATCTTAAAAAACAAATAACTTATATTTCTTGACCAGATTACAATATCAGATAGTGCAGCACTCTTCACATTACCTGACCTCAAATTTTCAGCAGCTCGTCTGGCAATTCCTAAGGCTCCTGCTTGATTTCTCAAATTACAATCATTACTCATATCATCACCTAACACAAGAATCATTCCTTCAATTTATTATCACACACTAATAATATATACTCAATTCCTCTAACTCATATTAAAAGTACTATACACTTTGCTATAGGTTAGCATTTAAATTCCCATTCTGCTTTAATCAGAAAAGTATTCAGAATCAAAAATGATATAGTTCACTTACAACATTTTAACATATCACTAAATCATACTTTTAAAACTTTATTATTACCATGTACTAAATACTCTCTTAATGATGATTCTTCCTTTATTTCTTCTAATATGAGAAATAAACATGAAGCCTGCTTTGTGATTCTTCCTTTATACCTATGTGCTAACATCAAGGCTTCTCTCCTTTCAACCATTGGTCATATCTGTTTTTTGTCTTCTTATATGCTTTATAAAATTGCTTTATATAGTTACAATTTAATTGATAATAGTACACTTAATGTTCCTCCACCTTATTCTTTACATCTTTCACATCTGATCAAATTTTTAATATAGAAATCCTCAGTAGTTTAAATAATCTTAAAAGTCACTTCATATAATCAATTAACCTCTCATTTTATACTGATGGTTCTCTTATCAACTTAGGTACTCCTTCGATCTATATAGGCGTAGCCTGATTGTAATCTGACCCTTCAGCACCTTTACTTTCCTTTAATGCTATACTCATCTTTTCTTAACCTTCATTTTCTCTAGCAGAACTAGTAGCGGTACTAGCTGCTATATATATAGCCCCTACAAATGCTGCAGTTAATATTTTCACAAACTCACAAAATGTCATTTCATTCTTTGATAAAATAGACTACTTCTACACCTTCTCTTCCACCTTTAATCCTATCTTTAAAATCTCCTTTTACCCAATTTGATTTCTTGTCATAAAGTTAATCAGAGAAAAATTCATTTCCATTGAACTTCACAAAGTCAAAGCTCACTCCAATGATCATTATAATAATGTAGTTAATGCATTAGCAAAAGCTGATGGTTTTTCAATCACACCAAATAACAAATTTCTAAGACACTATTATAATCTCTATTTTAATGAAAATATTATACTTATTTCACCTAGATTGTTTGTGAAAGACCTTTTCAGATTAATCAATTTTTATAATATACAACTACTTCCACACTTAAGAAATACAGTATAATGGATATTGATTGGATTTGCATCTCTTTTATTCTCAACGATAATGAAAATAACTTCTATACATTCTTCAAAGCCTTATCCATTCACAAATTTAAAATCAAACTCATACTCGAACTGCTTCCCACCTTAGAAATCCTTAAGATAAAATATCTAAATCTATATGATCAATCATAGAATTGTCCTAGATGTTCGTGTACTTATAAACTTTTAATCACGTTTAGATTTGTGCTAAAATTGAACATTAACTCATTAACATTATATTCTCAACCAAAAGGTTTTTTATACAACACCTTATTACATTGACCTCAGATACTCAGGATCTTACGGATCTTCTAGATTTGACTATCTGGTTCCTAAATGATTGATCTAACTCTTTTAACTTTATTGACTTGATCAAAGGAATTGTACCCTTCCCCTATTCAACAAAACACACAGCTTTATTAATAACCTTCAATTAATAAACAGTCTTCTATCTTCCACTTACCATTATGCATTCTTTTAAATAAAATTCATCTAACTTGATCGTTATAATGATATCAAATATTTTGAACACCTTAACAACATTTCACTCAATGATCAAAAATTACATTTTATCAACACCAGTTTTCTTTCATCATCACCACATTCTTTTAGTATTCCTTCATACTTTATTTCCTCCTTAAGTTTAATACGAATTAGTTAAATTTTTAGATCAGTAGCAATCACGTCTCTTGTACTAGATAGTTGAACCTATTCTAAGTTTATTTGAGTAGGTTAGTTTAGAACAGTGCAAGGTTGATTTTGATTTAGTTTTGTTGCTAAATAGAAATTTTTTTACTCTCTACCTTGTAATTTGTAAATTTATAAAAATTTTACTTTATTTTTAAATAAAAATTATGCAAAGCTACTGTACGTAAAAAAAAAAAAAAGTAAAAAACTTTATTATATAATAATAAGTAATTTGAATAGTATTATCTATTTTAATCATTCTATATAATAGCAATTATAAATAAATAGTAAGTTTTAATAATTAATTATCAAAATTTTTAATTCTTATATTATTAGTAATTATAGAGAGAAAATTTTTATTTTTAGATTTATTTATAGTAAAATCTAAAATTGATTATACAATAATAATATTAAAAAGTTGATTTATATTTATAGAAATCTTCAGATATATGATAAATTTAAAAAAATAAAATTATGTAATAAAGGTAAAAAATTTATAAAGAATAAGAAAATAATAATAAAGGATATGATGAAAATGATAATAATTTATTAAATTTTGATGATAGTATTTTGGATTTAAATTAAATGGAATAACTTTATTATAATTAAAAATGACGTTGAACTAATTATAATTATATAATACTTATTTATTACTAGTTACAATTAATTACAACTCAATTTTTGTTAATATTGTAATTAGTTATAATACTATAATGCTTATTTATCACTAGTTACAACTAATTGCAATATTATCTTTAGTTATAATAATATTAATATATAGCTATTTATAATATATATAATAATATAATAAATTTCTGTTTAATAAATAATATTGCAATAAATTTTTTATATAAATTCTTATATTAAAATTTATATTATAGTTAATTAACCAAATTTTAATTAACTATTAATTTCCTATTTTTAAAAATATTATTTATTATAATACATAAGTTTACTTAAAACATCAAAATCGATTTTATTAATAAAATAAATTTTTATTAGTTAAGTTTCTAGTTATTTTTTTTTTTAAAAAAAATATACTTATTATGAATTTATGTATTATATTATAAAAAATTAAAATAATTTATTTTCTTTTAAAGTATATCTAATAATATAAAACATTATTATAAATCCATATATTAAAAAATTAGGATAATTTGCAATTTTAATTTTAAAATAATTAAACATTTATATTGTCTTATAGAAATTTATTAATTGTATGATTTCTTCTATTATATATTTTTTTAAAAAATAATTTATAAGTTAAATTATTTTTAATTAATTGATTTAGATTTATTTTATTATTAAAATTTTATAAATTTTAATGAAGTTTAAATATATTATTAATTTGTTAATAAAATAAATTTTTTTTAAAAAAAAATAAAATAAATAAATAATAAAATAAATATAATAAAATATATCAAATAAAATCACTAGTCAAAATAGTCTAAATTGGCTAGAAATTAAATAGCTGATTTTAGGCTAATTTTGATATTATTTATAACTAATTTGTTATATTTTATGATCAGTATAAACATGCACTATTTGATTTCAATTAGGTATAGTTATTTAACATCAATTTAAAACTTAAATTCAATCATAAATTAGCCTAAAATTGATCCAAATTTAGCATTAATTCAGTATTAATTTAGAATTTAAATAACTATAAATTAGCTTAAAATTAGTCTTATTTTGACATCATTTAAAATTTAAATAATCATAAATCAGCCTAAAATTGATCTCAATTCAGCATTAATTCAGTTAAATAAGCATATAAAAGTAGTACATTTTATTTATTAAATTTATTAAATATTAAAATTTTATTAATAATAAAACCTAATATAAATTTGCAAAAATATCATTAAATATTACCAAATCTACTGATTAATTTTTTATTTAAAAATATAAGCAAAAAAGTGAAAAAATTATATAAAATTATAAAAATATAATTCATTTTTTTCTTAAAATTCCCTTAAATCATCCTAAATATTCATTATTGTAATATTTTTTTTATTTTCAAATAAAAGAATAAAATAATAAAAATATGATTTATTTTCCTTCTAAAAATCCTTCAAAATCATTTAAAAATGTAAAAAATAATAAATAAAATAATAAAAAATAAAAAATCTATTCTTTTTCATCAAATTACTTAAAATTATTTTTTTTTTATTATAAAAGTAAAAAAAAATCTGTTTATTATTTAAAAAGTTGATTGGTTAATTAATAAAATTTAACTTAAGTTTCATTCAATTTTGATAGTTAGAAACATGTTTCTATTATATAAAATAAAAAAAAATCAGTTTTTTTTTTTTGAAAAGTTGACTAAAATTTAATCTAAGTTTTAGTTATTTTTTTTTATCTAATTTTAGTAATTAGAGGCATATCTTTATTATAAAAGTAAAAAAAATCAGTTTATTTTTTGAATATTTGATTAAAATTCAACTTAAATTTTAGCTTTTTTATCTAATTTTAATAATTAGAGATATGTTTCTATTATAGAAAATAAAAAATTAGTTTTTTTTTTTTTTTTTTAAAAAAAATTAACTAAAATTTAACTTAAGATTCAGCTTTTTTTCATCTGATTTAATAGTTAGAAATATGTTTTTATTATAGAAGTAAAAAAATCAGTTTATTATTTTGAAAAGTTGACTGTTTAATTAATAAAATTCAATTTAATAATTATTTGAAATATTAAATTCAAATTATTCTCATATAAAATAAAATTATGTAATATTAAACAGAATACTTCACTTCAAAGTTAAGCCACTAAACCTTTTAATAATCTGCATTATTAAATTTAAAAAAACTAACTGAACATCATATACTCTATTAATTTTTATTATTACTTTTTTATTTTAGTAACTACCATTCTTTTTTTAAAATGTGTTTTTTTTAAAGATTCTTTTAAAAGTAAAAAAAAATATATAGTTTTATCATTAGAATTATATATAAATTTACAAAAGAAAAAATTTTCTAAGTATAATGTAACAATTATTCAGATATATTTATGTAAAATGTGAAAATCAAATTTTATTTATTAAGAAGGATTTATTAAACTTAATTACTTAACGTTAAATATAATATTTAAAAAATAAAGATTTATATTTATAATAACTCTTTTAAACTAATTAAATCATTTAATTAATTCTGTTTTTTTTATTTTGATAGCTTAAATTACGCAACATTTTTCATATTTAGTATTTTGAGATTTGAGATAATAATGTTAAAGCAAAAGTTATTTGTTCATCTGTTAGGTAATATTTACTAATGGTATTAATATTACTATTTTTCTACTATTAATATATATTTATTTTGAATTTAAAAATGATAAAGATTCTGATAGTAATGAATAAGATTATGTATTTGAAAATAATGACAAAGAAGAGAAATTAATAAACAAAAATATTATAATTAATGAATCAGTTAATACTTTTAATTTACTTGATAAAGTTAAATTAAAATTAGTTACAAATATAAAAAAATATTATCTTATACTTACCACTGAAA